CAATAATTAAACCAGAGCTTCTATGCGGATATTTATCGAATTCAAAATGCCGTGTAACTTTGGACACACTCATGCAGGTGCAACGTTTGTTTAATTAGATAAACGCGTATTCTCAGACTGTCGAAAAAGGGAGCCTAGTTTCCGAAACTATGGTTTTGCAATCAAGAATACATGTTTTTCAAAGTAGCTAGCATTTAAAATATCTCAAAGAGTAAATAATTTTTAACTTATCTGTACATTATAAATTTATAAGTGAATCCTTCAGAAAAAGTAAGATTTTCTACCAAACTACTGACGGCAGTTGATACTAGATCGATGTGAAAATTGTGCACTACTATTGCTGCCAGGAGGCAGTACTGCGTGGACATCCGTGCAGATAAGGACCATCTGTTTACTGCGTAACAAATTGCATGCGTTTATTCCACATTCATTACTTCTCTTATGTATCTACATATGTACATATTTACATTAGAGTGGTCCAAAAATGTATGTGAAAAAAATAAGGTCAGATTTTTAATGCCGCCACCCCCTAGGATTGTTCTATATCGAAAAAAAATATACCCCTATTTTTTTATTTTGAAAAAAAAAATTAAATTGGGAGTGCTCAAAGCGCTCAAAGTTTTCCATGAAAAACAACTTTTCGTAGAAATAGTGTAGAATTCTTTAAAATCAATAGCTTTCGATCGGAAAACTTTTCTTATCTTCAGGAGATTGCCGGTAATAATACGCAATTGTCTCTTTAACCATTTTTTCATAGTAACTATATTTTAGAGGTCCTCCAAAACCCCTATAAAATGCAATGGAAAAATCTTTAATCATAAAAAATGGTTAAATAAATAATTGGATATTAATACTGGAAGTCTCCTGAAGAGAACCACAGTTTTCCGATTGAAAAGTATTGATTTTTAAGAGTTTTATACCATTTCTACGAAAAATGGTTTTTTTCTCCATATCAAATACATGGAAAACTTTGAGCGCTTTGAGCACTCCCTAAATATTTTTTGATTTCAAAATAAAAAAATAGGGGTATATTTTTTCGATATAGAACAATCCTAGGGGGTGCCGGCATTAAAATTCCAACTTTATTTTTTTGGACCACTCTAATGTACATAGATATATATAATATGGAAAAATTACTGTTTACTCAAAAAAAGAAAACTAATTGAAATCTGAATAACTTTGTTCATTTCTTTCGTGTTTGCTTCCAAACCAAAAAAAATTTGTTTGTTTGTATGCACAAATATGTATGTTCGTATGCGCATTCAATATTTTTCTTATTAATAAAAATAAATAACTAACGTACGTAACTACGTACTATGTAGTAAATACTACGTAAATTAATTAGATTCTGATTAATCAATATGTAATTAATCGGAAAATTAATCATTTTGGTTAATCAGAAATAATTATTCTTTGATTAATTAATTAATTTGCTTTCGATTAATCTGCTTGTTCGATCATTTGATTAATCGCACATCTCTAATATATCTTCTATACATCTTATAAAATAAAGTCGCAAAATATGTACGTAATTTAATAACTTCGCACAGACTGCCCGATTTGAAAATGTTTTTTTTGCATTTTAAAGCTCAGCTATCTGGAAAGGATAATTTCAACATTATTTGAAGGAACCTATAGAAAGGGCGTGTCAATATGCCAAAATGTAGTAAATAATCATGAAATCGTTTTTAAAACTGCTATAAATCAAAAACGGATAAATCGATTGGAATATTTCTTCTTTGTAGCTAAACTATGAAATTATTTAATTAAATGTTCTGAATTAAGAAAAAATTGTTAGTTATTACCCAATATAACATAAATGTGTTAATAACAATAATATATAGAGGATATGCCTTATGATGACACCAAACCAAACCTGAACGTGAACGTGAATTTTTGGTGAAAACATTGGACCAAATGTTTCAAAAAATTTTAATTTTGGGCCGGACGAAGTAAGCCGGGTCTGCTATTATCGATATAAAATAAAAGGGCGAGTGCGACAAAGGAGTACATTTACATGTACACATGCTTAGCTAGATTATACAGTTAAAAATACTCCAGTGTCCATTCTCACACAAATTTAATATTTGCTTATATTGCTTACACATTTACATAACGCTAATTTGATTGAGAAAAAATAAATACAAATTTTTTCTTGAGTACGAAGAATTACTGGCTGCATTTCGGTTTGTTTTATGTTTCATCAAAGGTTTATGAATCTGTTGTTTTTGTAATTTAACCTTAACAAAGCTAGGATTGCACGACAGGCTTATTCTCTGGAATAGATTTTGCAATTATCTAAAATATGTATTTATATACATAAATATGTATGTATGTATGTGTAGCTAGTAATTATTTATGTTGGACTAAATGTTTGAAGGCCCTTTTTCCCAGTTTTATTTTCCTGCCAGCTAACGAGCGACATTCACATAAATAAGTGCAACTAGGCTTGAAACAAGCTGAAAAGTCCACACCTTAATAAATGTATGCAAATATTTGTGTGTACCACTTTTGGCACAGTTGCAACTTGCCCGAATCTACGCTCACTCGTTACAACTTTCGATTGTTTAGGTTGCAAGCTACACTTAGTAGCCGGAAGAAAAATAAATTCTGCATTCAAACACATATGTACATACATATGTATGTATGTATGTATGTATGTTAAAAGCACATTCATTGGATCCCGCTTACACATGTTGCAGTCTACTTATTAGCCGGATGCCAAATGGCAAACGAAATTGCTCGTTGCTCTTTCTTCACAATGTTTCTTGTCATTCGAATGTGAGTTGCAAATATTCCAAAGTGGCAGCAGAAGATAACGGGACTTTCATTTTATTATATTTTCATCTTAGGAATGTCTTTTTCAACGCAATTCCAGCGCAGTTGCTTTCCGTTTTGCATTTAAAAGATATGAGACAGTATTTGAGAGCTCTTGGAAGAATTTTGTTGACAGAAGATTCGAGTGAAAGTATATGCATACATACATACACGTGCATATATGCACCTACACATACATATAATGTGCAAGTGTGCACTTTCATAAGTGTTTTTTTTTTCGCCAGAAGCATTATTGCGGTCTGTGCTACTTTGCGACCACTTTCACTTGAAGGCCTGTTGCATACCAACACAATTACAACTTCGTTATTGTTGATTGCATTGGTTCAGAAAGTCAGCAGCCCCTGGGTAATTTTAGCAAACTCCCTCAAGTGTAATGGCACACTTCCTTTGAATTATTCGCAGAGATTGTAATAAAGAAATGCTGCAAAAGTTTTTAACAACAAACATAAGTATTTATGTACGTATTTATTTATATACAATTGTATACAAAAGTACGTTGAAAACTTTTTGTGTATGGCGTGGGTGCTATAAATAAGGAGAGAAAGAGGTACGAAGTCAAATGTTTTGAAAGAAATAAACAAATGAAATAAAATGTTTAGACGTAAACTCGTTTTGAGTTTAAAGTAAAACATTTGCAATGCAGTGGATTACCGTGCATGTTGTCAAGGAGGTTATACATACAGATACTATATATATAGATATATATATCTAAATATGTTTGGAAAAGAGTTTCAGCGAAAATTAATCAAGTTTAAAGTTTCTGTTGAAAACCTGAGTGTTGTTAACACTTTAATTCTGCTTCGTTCGGTTTCGTTCTTTAAAATTTTCAAGGGCACGCTCTCGGCTTGCCTTGATAAATTTAGCAGTTTTGATAAAAAAGTACAACGACGTTGACTTTTACGTTAGCATTTCCTCTTTTTTTTCCGTTGCAAACAAAAACAAACTTTCGAAATTACGTAGATACTTCCTTCGTAATTTAACTCGCACTTTGTGTGTGCCTCGTCACTGTTTCAGCATTGCATTATTCCACGGTTTTAAATAGTTTCATGAATGAAATGAAAACTTAGTTACTTCCACACTGCGTAGCGATTAATTCCTTAAGGCTCCTGCCACCTAATTTTAAGTTGCATTGTTTGACTTCAGCAAAGTACGAGTAATTGCACAAATATTTCACCATCCCCGACTATGTCGCAAACGTCTTCTGTGCCATTTATCTATCTAACATTCGGTGTGGCGCATTTGTATAATTAGATTGTGTCACAGCGCAGATAATTAAAACTCCCTGAACACCAATGAAATGCAAATGCAACGTCGATTGGCTTGCAAGTGCTTGCACGCTTGCTTGTAAACTTTTGGTGAGCCGTCTATGGCTTTCGTGCCCCAACATCATTACCGCTTCTTCAAGAGCAGATAAGAACAGTTTAAATAAATCAAAAATAAGAGCAATCCAGAGTCTAATTAGGAAGAAATTAGAGGCTTCACAGGTGTTACTCATACGCCTCCACGTACGCCATTTGCTTACGAATAGTCGAATGCAAAAGGTTCGAGGTTTGAAGTTTTTTCTTAAGTACCTGTGTGCATATAAATGCTAAATAATAAACGATCTATAAATCCGCTGACGATTTCTGATCCATTTGTTGTAATAAAGTTTGATATACTTTGACTGAATAGACGGTTTTTTGTCAAAATACAACTTTTTCATCAAAAACGTGTTTTCCAAAATATCTTATCAGCTAAGCGAAATTAATGCTTTAATATGGCTAATTTTTCTGTAGCGTGTAAAGTGATGTACAAATTGGAATAAACTGTTAAAAAAGCACTGTCCCTTTAGTGTAGTTACAATTCCGGTAATACTTGTGTTAATCATAATGAAAATCCTTATCAAAACAAATGCCGATGATTAAACATGGATAAGAGACAAGGAAGGAAGAAGAGCCATCTCTCTGGTTCACCCAACGAGTGGGAACGGACATGCGCAATTCTTCCCGAATAAACTGTCCTGAATGAAACACAGTGGTAACAGTGGACAACGTGAAAACACGCGAACACCCATAGCCTCATAAAATATCGGTGAGTCAGACGGAATGCTGGTAATCGGCACAGCATCACAGCTTCCCTGCACGACTGATAAGTGTTTGCGTTCAGTTCAAAATCTGTAACGTTGCTGTGAGCACGTAAAAGGCGGTGTTCTCGCGATTATTGAGGCCGGCGGCACACCAAATCCATAAATCAAAAGTGTTTGCGCATACACTTATTTTTTTGTTCAGACGGCTGAGGGGTGGCATCCTCAAGGAACGAAGAGTAAGCAGTGTGTCACATGTGTAGTCACAGGTGATTGTTCGGATTGTGAGAGTGAATATAAAATGAATTTGAAGCCAGTATGAAAATATGTGCGTGTATTTTAAAAATATAAGTTTTTTTCCGACATAAAGAGAACAGCTGCTGAATATACGCATATACGCAATTTATGGTTTTAAATGCAAACTTGGGAGTGCTCAAAACCATCGGATAGTCGACTACGGAAATTAATATGTTTAACGGTACTTTTAACGCAGTTTTCTGTTTTAAGCTAAAAGTAAAAAAATAAATAAAAGGTCATACTGTATACATATGTATGTACATGCATACAAGAAGCTTCTTCATGGCAGAAATACACTCGGAGGTTTGCTATTGCCCCCGGAGGGGCGGCCACTATTAAAAAAAAATTTTAAAAATTCAGTGTTATGCGTTTATATTTGAATTTGCATAGTTCATACTTACATAAATATTTGTGCGTTAGGGGCAGCATCTGGTACGTACCAGCGAATGCTGTCAGCTCACTAAACCACAACGGAACCAAGCAGCAATAACAAGCGATCCAAAAAGCAAGCAAATTCGAAGTGCGATTGCTTTTGGATTTGAAAAAAAAAAATAATAAAAATATGGAAAAGCTTTTCGAGCTATTCAAAAATTAAATCAGTGAGTGAATAAAAGTAAAGAGGATGAGTGAAACTGAAAATAAACAATCGAAAGCATTTAAAATTTAAAACCATGGCAAAATCAACGCTTCGCATGTAAAAATACTGGTCGAATTGGGGCAGTTGAATCCACAAAATGAATTCACTGAACCACGAAATACGAAAATGTCAGCAGAGTTCTTTTTGCGACCACACTAACAACTGGAAAAAAAGTGAAAAAGTGATAAATAAGCAAATATATTGGAATGTAAATATATTTTTTTAAACCAAAATTTTGTAAAATTTTACAAGCTCCTATTATAGCAAAATTCGTTAAACAATTGTCTAAATAAAAATATGCTGTAGGAACACAACCGCAAACAACAGCACCGACATGCTAAGACAGTATGTTTGAGACGGAATAACATCTGGTTTGAGTTGATATGACATGGCAATGCATGAAATTTTTGAGAATGACATTTTTACAGAAACTCTTGAATTTTGCAGTACTTTAGTACAAACCCGCATAATCGTATAAGTCGGCACTTTCCTGAGGATTTTTTTTTTTTTTTGTCGGAAACATGATATAGCAAAGTTTACGCTTTCAGGTAAATACCATGAAATAAAATGGTAAAATTTATTATTTTGAAATTCACCCACACTGTGAAAACAGGAGCGTTTAAGAGAATTAAATGGTTTACAAAAGTTTACTGGAATTGTTGTTAGAATAGGTTAATTAACCAAAAAGTATAAAAATTTCTTCTTGAAAAATTTGCACGAAAACAAGAACACGACCAATTCTTTTTATATCAATTGGATAACTAGATGCGGTCGAATGGCACCATGCCCTTGATGCCTGCACTGAATAAGTCAATGCTCCCTGAAGTATTCCTAGCGAATAGTCAATGTTTACTTTGCACTCTAAAGTACGAAGATGAAAGATTTTAATTAAAGTCCGTTTTTTACGGTTACTGTCTTGGGAAATCAACGCCTAACGTGGAACTGACGATACAAGGACGTAAATTAGACTTCGGGCAAGCTTATAAGGAACTGTGAATGGGCAGCTCTATACCCTGATATTCGATTTCCCACAGCATTTTCGATGGTCTTCACTATTATTTATTGCTACACTGATTTTGCAAACAAGTATGTAAATACTTGAATACTCGTAGCGTGATCGAACCAAATATTTTACGTGGTTATCGAAGTGCAAAAAATACTCAGTAAGTACTTGTGAAAGTCACTCGAATACTTACTACTTAATAAGAATCACTTTCGATAACAACGAATATGAAAATTTAAAAAGCGTTCGGCAGTCATCCCTTTTCCATCTTCTGCTTTAATCCCTTTTCCTTCTCCCAGGTTAATGCCGATAGCCAGTTAAATAATTTTTTTTTAATTTAAGCACAAATTGAGTCCGCCACTTATTCCAGAAAGTCCCTAAATGTGCCATTCAGTGAATATTAATTGATGCGTATTCCACTCACAACTTCCATAAAAACCGAAAAGAAAAAAAAAAAGATAAAAAATAAACCCAACTACAGTAACAATGCAACAACAACCACAACCACAAACGCAAACGATATTGGTGTCCTCAAGGAACTATTTTAATAAGCGAAATTTGTGTAAAATTGCGAAAAGCCAACAAAAACATAGCAAATTTACACCGCCAGTATGCCCCAATAGAGTGCAGCGCGGAGCAGCCGAAGCGAAGAAGTCAACAAATATGCCAACCTCAACCGCTAAAACGACAGGCAGCGAGCGAAGCTATCGAATTTCGAACAGGCGCAGAAGCTGCGACAACCACGACTTAGTTTACGGCAGCATTAACTGCGCCACTGGGACCATTCGCACCGCTAACTGTCAAGGCAGTGGTGGCAACAGCAGCAACAAGAGCCACAACAACAATGGCTATGACCCCAGTGTTACCGATTGCAAGATGTATGCACGAAGAAGAAGGACCACAATCACGAGCGGGCAAATGATGTTGACACTGCTCCTAGCTACTGCGCTCCTCCTTGAAGCAAGTAAGTGAAGACAATATTTTTTCAATATGTACGCATTGTAATTTCAAACATTATTTATCTTCCATTCAACCAATGGAATTTCTCAAAGAATTTGAGTTCAGTGGGACGTTTGCGTTCGTAGTTATTCAGATATTTCTGTGAGATTTCGATAAATATAAGTAACATAACCCAGCAACTTTTGCTCATATGTACCACGGTCGATTGCTATTATTGAAAAATAAAATATATGCAGTGAAATTTAATTACATGCGTGAATAGTAGACGAGTCAATCTGGCATTTGAGGTCGAAATAATTCCCTAAGGATAAAGAACATACCGTCTTGCTCACAAAATTATACGGATTAAAATGACGGAATGCCCTATCTCTTAATTGGAGAGGAAATAATTTGAAGAAATTAAAAACTACTGTTATCTAAATAACGCTGCGACTAAATCAATTTCACGTATCCGATTGGTTAATTCAATCGTTTTTTCGTTTTGAAATATGAGCAGGAAATAATGTTACTCATACGCCATATATGACCATCTACGCTTTTGATCTACGAACTTAATAAGAAAACAATAACAATCGATAAGGCGAAAATTATTACTCGAATCGTGAGAGATATACACAAAGATTCCAATCTTTGGCCATACATTAACGAGACCAAGCCGGCTTTAAAATTAAGTTTATTTCTAAAAGGAATTTTTTCATTGCCAAACGATATGTCCGTTAACATTTCGTCAAATCTAATAAATGATATCTCATTTTGAAGAGAAGAAGCTCTCGTACATGCGAAAAATAGTCACGCTATTCAGATTTAGTTATTTATTAAAGAAAAGGGAGTTTTAAAAGCTTAAATCACTGTATCCGGCCAATAAAGCGGCATATCTTCCATAATACAGCAGCTAATTGAATGATTGCAGCACGATTTTGAAGTACAGTTTCACTGGTTGAGTTAAAAAATAAGAACTTTTTAATAGAGCTGCCACCTGCTTAAAACTCTAGTGACCAAATTATATGTAGATATTGACTAAAAATTTGCATTGCGTTCAGCGAATGAAAGGCATTTAAATGCACTCTTAACCCGAATTAATAATTTTGAAGAGGGTTGGCAACTATCTAAAAATATTAGTGTATATACATATTTATTTATCTATTTATATTAATGTGAATGCCTGTTTGTTTATTTCCTTATAACTTTTGACCCACGACACGGAATTGCACGAAACTTTGCACACTTATTTGTTTTTACCCCGGGAAGGTTATAGGTATTGAGAAAAATCGACAGTGCTGGTAAAAGGGGCTGGCACCTCCGATAAGAACTAAAATTTTCACCTTATATATCTCGTAAAATATTTGTGGTAGAGTACTGCAACTTGATGTCGAGATAAATTAAATTAATTCCATACTCAAGGGTAAACACTGGAAACACTGGAACACTTACTGACCGTAAGTTACATGAAATTCAAAATTTGGTATGCAGACATATCTATGGTAGAAGCTTTTAGTAAGTTATATATATAAATGAGTCTGCAAAAAAGTGGGCGTGGCACATCCCAAAGGCGTGGAATTTTTTATCAGCTATACCATAAGTCACATAAACGTGAAACTTAGTATGGTACATTGGTACTTATAGTAGGGTATGTTTATATAAATGAGTTAGTAAAAGGGGAGTAGCGCATAACGCAGGCGTTGGGCATTTTGTATCAGCCATAGCTTCGGAGCCACAATTTACATCGCCACCCAAAGCTTTATCGAAAATAAAATCTATGATAATTGCATTGGATAATGCATTTGTGTTAATAGAGGCTTTGAAGTATTAAAAACATGCTGTGAAATAATATTAGAGTTATTATTCCGAAGAAATTAGATAGCTAAAATTTTAAAATAACAACACTAGTATTGTTGTAGGTGTTTTTACCCCGTACGAAATGTAGAACGGAAAGGATTTTAAGGCACTAAAAACTTGAAAAACCACAAAATGAGCTTTGAAAAAAGGCATAGGCGTTTGAGCTTGATTATTTACTTCCTTTAGGTAAAATGTGCATGTCGAATTAAAAATATAAAACAAATACATACAGTGGTCAAAAGATTATAGCCGAACCACTTTTTGCCAAGGTTTAACATATTATTTTTTGTTGTTATTGAACTTTTGTTGTTTTTTTTTATAAAAATATATTTTATTCTTTAACAAAACCCGTGTAAATCCAAATTTGTACAATATTAAAAAAAAATTCAACAAACTTTCTTACAAATTTCGAACATTTTAAAAATCTAAAAAATCAATCGAAATTTTTAGCCATTGTAAAATCGTACTTTGTTCTACTAGAATTCAGTGGGCTACAAAACTGCATACTCAGAATTTAATTAAAAAACTCGAAATCGTAACGAAAATCTGTCGGATTTTCTTTTAAATTGCATAAATTTGTAAGGCAGTGTCACTCGATTGGTACATTTGTACATCTTTCAATTGGGCTATTGGTAAAAAAGGGACAATTTTTTATTGTTTTTTTTTTGTCAAAAGAGTGGTACAACACCGCGATGTTCCATTGAAAAATTTCAACAAATTAATTTTCGTGATTGGGATAAAGAAAAATATTTTGGATGTTCACACAAATGGGATACGATTTGTACCAAATTTTGGCAAATACCCAATAGTGTGGTACTGCCTTTAAACTCGATGTTGTTAAAGAATGAACTATAGAAAACTAACCAAAATTAAATAACAACAAAATTAATATTTTAAAATTTGTGAAAGTTTGGTGCGGCTATAATTTGTTCGACTACTCTACATAAGTTTACTATGATTACTCGACAGTGCTATCAGAGTAGCACAATACCACTAAGAGCATTTTAAAATTTTCAGGCAATAGCCTCATGCGGTTATCGATTCTATTTTTTGTTGTTTGTGTAAAATATTTTATTTTTTATCAGTATTTTTCTTTAAATCAAAATATGTTGAAATAAAAGTGAAACTAAAGAAAAATTTTATCAGAATCAACAATCCCCCCCCCCCCCCCCCCCCTAAAAAAATCCTCACTACGACCCTGAATGTACACACATATGTTATTTACGCTGAAAGGAAAATAGTAAAAAATATTTGTTTGACATTCGCGCAATATAATGGAAATCTCGGGATTCATGAAAAAGTGGGGCTTCGATAGTAAATAGACCGTCCTTTAATAGCGGTCTGTTGACATTTTTACAAAGTACTCACAGAATACCTAAATTGTTTTTACAACCTACATTGGCAGGTCAATTTGTGCATATGTATGTAACATCCATTATTGTTCCTGCACATATGGACACAGAATGTAGCTGCTCGTACCCAGCAAACATTGAGGTTAGTCATCGATTAGAGAATGATTGGAGAACTAGCCACATTCTCCAATCTCAAACGTTAGAGAACGACTCGAAAAACTATCGAGAATCATAGCGATCTCAACAAAAATGGGACATAGTTCTCGACTCGAGAAAATATTAATTCCCTAATCGAATTCTAATGTTGATCTCTAATGGGATTCGAATGCATTGTTTGCAAAATTTGTATTAAATGTATTCGCAATAAAATAATAATGGATTATTTGAACTTAAAAATAATGTATAATTCATTCATTGGAATTCATTCATTTGGAATATTGCTTATTTACATTTATATGAATTTGCGTTGTTTCTCTCGCATCGAATCGAATTCTAATGTAGTTCTCTAACTTCGTCATCGACTCGAGAACGATTAGAGAATTACCCTAGTTATCTAATGTAGAAATCCAAATTTCTCTAACGTTAGAGACTGTGTTTGCTGGGTAGTACACTAACAGTGAGCGTAGGATGTTATGTACGTGATGACAGCAACTATCATCGATGGCATATGCAGAGCCTCAGTTCGTGCAAACATGTATGCACCTACGCTTGAGCCATGTGCTCTTCGTAGCGGTTCTTGCAATTTCTGTGGTGACACATTTTAAACACATTTTTGCGGCGCGGCGGAGCACAGAGGTTAATGAAAAATTCACGTTCCCATGGGGTATTGACGCTTTCGGGCGGACGTGGAGACGTGTGTAGCTTTTGTTTTGTATTTACCACAGTTTGTTGTTGCTATTGATATTTTTGTAGTTCGGTACGTGCAATTTTAACACCAATCCAATATGTACTTTTACCTCAATTACAATCACTTCAATGTATCTCTCGGTATTACACAGTTGAAGCAGGTTTTTATATTTTCATATATACCTACCAACCTTCGACCTATATACATACATACATATATATATATATATGTGGTATGCAGGTGTCACTAAAAGCAATATATGTAGCATTTGAAGCGAGTGTGTTTATCTATTTTCGCATGAAAACCGAAATGACAGACATGTCCAACCAATTAAGCAGCTGCTACATCATAGACGACAGGTAATATGTACCGAGTAACGATGGTGCTTCTACATACATATCTACATGTGTTTCGCAGGTGTCCATAGTTACACTCAAATGTGGCCGGAAGGGTGTCTCCTTAGTATGAACGGGTTTAAAATTCAGCTGGTCTTTAAGCACTTAAAATTTTGTTTGTTATACTCGTCCCGCAGCCTTAAATGGACTGAGCACCCACCATCATCAGACCACAATGAGCAACTTACTATGATATAAATTTCATATACATGCTTTAACCTAATTCATGACTTAAATCACAGATTATTTGTATGCCGTTAAAAGAAGACAGCCAGTCGAGGACCCAAAATCCTTATTCTGTACTTTCAATTACGGAATTTCGAAATGCCTCTGAAATTTTATGAGTACGTACATATATATTATAATCGCTGTGTGTGTGCGCCTGTGAGCTTCAGATAATGGTATATTAATTACTAATTTATGTGCAGAAAAAATAAACCTCCACCCATCGTCAACCTTGAAACCTCTGCGGTCTTTAGTTAGTTCTCTCACCTGAAATGGCGACGCTTACATAAAGTACATAAATGTCGCATAAAAGCCACCACACAGCATAGCCCACTCATCCGAAGTGTTG